TCGTAGATGTCCTCGATGTTTGCAAACAGCGTGCCCACCTGCTCCGTGCTCAGCCCCAGGACCCCGCCATCCAGCAGGGGGCCCAGGTAGTCCTGTGGGGAGGACTGGGGTTACTGGGGCAAAGGGCTGGGCTGGGACCCACTGGCCTCAGGTGCCCTCCTGCCTCACCTCCACGATGCTGCGGAGGTCCCGGACATAGGCCCGCTCCGTCTCCACGATCTCACGGGCCACACGCTCCAGCCTTGAGGGTTTCACCAAACCAGGGATCCCCACAGGCGACAGATGCAGACGGATGGGGGGCCCTGGAAGGGGCTCCGGTCTGGAGGCTAAACAGGCAGGGGTGGGCCCTGGGGCCAGGTCCCCCTCAGAGCCCACTGTGCTCAAGGATGTGGAGCTCCCAGAACCTCGAAGGGAGGCCATGGCGGGAGTTGCGGAGGCTGCTGGGGGTGTGGAACAGGAGGTTAGGGTGTCTCCCCAGCTGAGTGAGTGCTCTCAGCCCTCATACTCACACACATTTAGTCAGTGTCTTTCCCAAGGCTCCCTTCTCCTCTCTCTGCTGTGCTGCCTTCATCCATTCCTGTCCTCTCGCATCAGGGTCCTCTCTGGGCTTCTGGCCTCCACTTCTCTAATCCACCTCCATGTATCAGCCTGGGATGTCTATCAATTTGCTGTCTGACCCAGTCACTCTCCTGAGTACAACCCCTTCCTGCCCTCAGGATAAAGTCCAAACTCCTCGGGTCCACAGGGCCTTATGCAAGGTGCCCATTAGACCATTCCAGTCTGCTCTCTCGCCACAGCCATGCCACTTCTCACACTCCCGATTCGCCGCACGCAGCTTCCCCTTACCTCTGGGCCTTTGTACAACTGCTCCCTCTGCATGGAATAAACACTCTGCCTTGCTTTCCCAGCTGGTTCCTCCCAATCTTCCTATTCTCAGTTTAGATGTTGCTTCCTCTGACTTCCCAGACTAGGTTCCCACAGCCCTTTGGGCCCCCATGCTGGCTGCGATCACTCTGTCCTGAGGTACCCACTCCGGACTGCCATTGTCTGGATAGGTCCATCTTCCCCACCAGACTTGGAGCTCTGTGCGGGCAGGACTGGGGCTATTTTGGTCACCCTGTGTTGCCAGCATTGCCCAACACTGGGCCAGCCAGAGGGCTGCACCGTGTCTGGAATAAAGGAATGAATGCCCAGCAGGCTCTGCCCCTCCCTTGCATGCTCACCTGTCTGAGTCTCACACACTGTTGCACAGTCACACACTTCACCTCTGTGGCGGGGGCTAAGGCGAGGGCTGGGTTTGGACAGGCTCAGTCCACGGGCTCCCTCTGGCATGGCTGCGTGGCTCAGCGGCTTCTGCAGAAAGACCCCCTTCTTTGATACCAAGACGTCATAGGCCTCCAATTGCCCACACTCACAGTTTGGGGGCTGAGAATCAGGAGTGTGGTCTAAATCCAAGGAGGGGCCCCAGGGAGTAGCAACTCATGGGGCAGACAGACGCAAAATGATAGAAAGAGGGGGACAAGGAGAGAGAACATAGAGAAAAAGATGGGAAGGCAAAGACAAAGAAGAGTGAAGAGAGCAAAAGAGTCGCTGGAGCTAGGAGTCTGGTCTGTCTGGGGACGGAGGCTCAGGGATCCTGGGAACGGCTGGGCTCCGGCTGCAGCCGAGGGCGAGGGGCAGGGCTGGGAAAAGCCGTGGGCGGGAGGCCGCGGGATCCCAGGAGGGCGGAGA